GGGGGGGGGGGGGGGTAGCGGTGCAGCGGTACGCACCGCGTTCTCCCCCGCGTCGTCGGTGCGGTACGTATTATTGTTGTTATTATTATTATCATCATCATCATTATTATTGTTATCGTTGCTACGGCGGCGGGGGACGACGCGCTGACGGCATCCACTAAGTAGGTCGATCGACCCGAAAACAAAAACATCGCCGAGAGAGCTGTATTATCGCCCCGCGATATTATTATCGTTGTTATTATTATTATTATTATTATTGGTGATGGCGTACAGCGTATTCCGTTCGCAGACGTTTCGCGTTCGTGACATCGTTTAATTAGCTAATCGGAAAAAATAACACACGCGCGCGCACACGCACAAACGCGCACACACACACACGCGCGCGCACATACACGCACGCACACACACGCACACGCACACGCACACGTTCGCGCGCGCGTATAGGTACATAATTCGATACAGAGCAAGGTCCCGGGTCCGTCAAGGTCGGACCGAATGAAAATACTGCGAGAGATCCGACGACGGCGGCGCACGGCGAATAAGCGCGATTATTTGTTTACAAAACATCGTTTTCGTACGTAACGACCGCGGCGTACGAGCGGTGTGCGTTTATTATTATTATTATTATTATCATACGTACCGCCTCCCCCTCGAAGATATATAAAAAAAAAAAAAAAAAATTATAAGTGTGTCATACGCCCGTCGTCGTACCGGTAACAAACGCTCAAGGCCTCGGCGGCGAACGATGATCGGAACCGATTTTTTTTTTTTTTATTTATTATTTCTGGTCGTTCCGAACCGCGAAAACGGAATACGTATTGTTGTTTTCTCGTTTTCGGCAATCGACAATCGCAAAACGTACAATATTTACAAAGTTCGGGGAAATCGTATTTCGCGATCCGCGCGTTTGTCGTGTATCGTTCGAAAACCGTTGACAACGTGTTACGGCCCGCGACGACCTTGACACTAAAAACGATTTTTATTATTTTTTTTTTTTTTTTCTACACGCGTCGCACACGCTACAACAGTTTTCCAATCCTGGACGACGGATCTCTGCGCTATATAATAATCGTGTAGGTATTGTAGCGGCCGCAATAACAATAACCTAACGCAATGCAAATAATGCGCGACCGACCCAACAATAATCGTAATCCGTAACTTATTGTTTTTATCAATCTTTGTACGGGCCATTGTGCGCGGTTTTTTTTTTTTTTTTCTCATATATATACCTCCGTTTACGTTCTCTACAACCCGGACCCGCGCGCGCGTACACCGGCCGGTACGAGTGCCGCGGTACGGACTGTGTGGCTCGCTATACCGATGATAAAAATGTAAAAATATTGTATACACGGTGGCGATCAAGGTAATGTTCAAGGTAGAACTCGCGAGTTATCATCAAGGCGACCGCCGTTCCTTCCGCGTTGCTAAACCTTGTGAAACTCGCTTATTATGGCGGCGGAGCGGCGCGGTAAAGGTACGCGGTGTGCTTTGCTTTTTTATTTATTTATTTTTTTTTTCGTACGCTCGAATATAATACACACACACACACACGCGCACGCACGCATACGCACACACGCTCGGGCGGCGTCGTTGTCCAAGTGCGTGACTCAAACATCATCCACTCTACGAGTTATTGGTTTCGAGGTTCGCGTTACCCGTCCAATTCCATTGGTACTGGCGCGAAAACCGTACGACGGCCGTTGTTATTCACCGCCGACAGACCGCGTCGGTGACGTCACGCGGGTCTACTCTACGGCGGGCGGCATTTTCGGCCGAACGCGTTTTTCGGGCCGCGGATCGGCGACGGTCGAGATACGCGACTTGCGTATAGCAGAGAAATTTAATAACCGCGCGTTGTCCGCGCAATATATCGGAATCGACAACGCGTAAAACCGTCGAATGCGACGCAAACCCGGGGCGAATAACCCGACCGGCCGTCGGGCGTCCGTCCGGAATCGTCCGGGAAAAGAGCGATTCGGTTATCATCCGGGCGCCGGGTTAATGTGCAGGCGAGGCGGGCACGCGGGCCAGGGCTATAGGCGACGGCGGCGGATATTTCGATTGTTTCACTTCTGTGTACAGCGATGCGCAACATACCCGGGCGCGTTAAAACGTATTTCAAACGATCATAATAACATAAACGATCTAAATCGAAGTGTCCGAAGGTACAATGAACGCACCGAAACGTCGGCCACGGTATTGTATCATTTGGCGGCCTTACGACGAGGGCTATCAAACGACACGCGCCCAGAGCTCGGATACCCGGCCCGGGTATCATTGTCGTTATCTGTATGCCCGAAAACGCGATATTCACGGTTCTGCGTTTGTCCGTGCACCGGAGAAACGTATTATCGTCGCACCGGCCGCATATTGTGTGCACACGAGTGGGTACAACTCCGGCCGGTAGGCAGATACCCGTCGGCTAACGCAACACGCGTCGCGACACGAAGGACGCGGATTTTTCGGGAGACCACCTTGGGGGCGAATTCGCTCATGAGTGTTTTTTTTTTTATTCTCTTTCTATTCTCCCCGCTAACACAATAATTATACGATGTTTTCGCGTTTTAACCGTCTCATACGTCGCCGTCGTCGTCACCGTCGTCCTAAGGTCTTGGCCGTCACCGAGAAGTTCAAGGCGCGCGCGCTCGGTAACCCGTGTGCACGCGTGAAGGCGATCCGCGATCATAATCTACGGCCGTTTTTCGAAAAACATATACGAGTATACGCCGCACGAGCACAATTACAAAGATATGACCATTATTATTATTATTATTATTATTGTTATTATTACTGCCACGATCGCGCCCAAGGACGGGAGACCTGTGTGTTTTCGTTTCCTTTTTTTTTCGACAGTTAATAACCATATTATACAATATTATACAACCGCGGGTACCATATGTAGTCTATTGCACACGCGTACCTACTCAATCCGAGTAACGACGAAAACATAACAAACGCGAACGTCCGCGCGCGAGCCCATTCATGTGTGCGACGTATTCCGAGGCGGTTCTTATCATCGAGCGTATCGAGCTTGACGGCAGCGGCGGCAAGAAGGGGAACGCGCCCGTCGTTATCAAACCGTCCATTAATTTCCACCGTATGATTATAATAATATTATTATTATTATTATTATTATTATTATTATTATTATTGCACTGTACGAGTATAACGACTCGAACGTATAATTCATAAAAAAAAAAAAAAACCGACAGACTGAATGGGATATTATTACGACCGCCGCGCGCGCTTCGTATAATTATTTACATTTGCAAAGGTTATTGACTCGCCTATAATAACACTATATTGTAATAATATACGCGACGACGAGACGGAGACATTTTCCCGCGGGTATTTATGTAGGGGAGGGGGTGGTCCCGGGAGACACTGGCTCCGGGTGCCGCATTTCGAGGGGGAGGAGACGGCGCAACAGTTCATCACCCGGAAATAACGCGTTCCACAGCCTAAAGTTTATACCTACGGTACGAAATGCCCGGCTCGAAATTCCAGCGTGTCGAAAAAAAAAAAAAAATTCGCAAAAATGCGTTCTCACGAAATGGCGCTAAAAATGTGCATGGTCTGTAGTTCAAACGCGGGCGCCCGAATCGCGCGTTTGACAATGCGAATGTTTTTCGAAATTTTCTCGTCGGACGCAAAAATCATTTTCGATAACACTAACCCGTCTACGGTTTATAATCTATACTCGCGTAGACGAATGCCATTGTCGACGGATTCTTTTCGAAAACGAAACCGTTCAAGTTCCGCCGGTTAGTCGTCGCATATTACAGGTAGGTGCGTTGGAGTGTATTTACTGTAGTGCTATTGAAACTTACTCGGAAAACATAAATCCAGATCCGGTCGGAGCGGCGTGTTTCGTCGGTGGGCGCGGGCGAAGGACGTTATCCGTACGGCGACGAGTAGACGGAACCGCACAGCGATATTGTAACAACTATAGTACGATGAAGAATATTAACGATAATTATTGTAACTGCACGGCACAAGGCGCGAAATTCGAAAGCGCGGTGAAAAAAAAAAAAAAATAGACGAAATAAATTATAAACACCGTTAAAAATAGACAATTTTCAAAATCGTACGCGAATTCGGAATAATGTAAAAAAAAAAAAAAAAAAAAAAAAAACAAATTTCAAAAAAATAAATACCCGAGGTAGGTACAACAATTAGACGTTGTTAATCTCCGCGGTCGTTGTTGTCGTTTCGATATCGCGGGACCGTTCGAGTACGGCGATAAGAGAGCGAGTGGTTTCGTGTCGGGTGTCGAGAACGCGGCGCGCACAGAGACACAGAGCGTTCGCTGTGATATGAAAGAAAATGCGGTCGCGCGGCGGTACGGCGGCGGCGGCGTCGGCGGCGGCGGCGGCGTGACGGTGGGGAGAGTCGACCGGTCGAGTGGGGCCGACGAAGGCCGGCGGCGGACGAACGGCACCTTTTTCGCGTTCTCTCTCTCTTTCCGTCTATCGGTCTCGCCGCTTCGACTTTATTCGCGCTCTTTTCTAATTATTATTATTATTATCATATTGTGTGGGTAATGCTCAGTTTTTTCACCGTCCGCCATCAACCGAAAATAACGACGAACAACTGTCGACGCGGTTAAATGTATCGGGTTAGATTTTGTCCCCTTCCCCCCCCCCTTCCCTTCGATATAAATTTACGACGATCGGTACCCCGGAATTTAGTTTCGTTTTCGTTTCCGATGGCGTACATCAATATTTTTGTCATCGCTTATCCACGGATAAACAACATAGTGATTCGACCGTATTACGGGAGTCATGATTATGGTCCGACGACGATATTATCGGTATAACGTCCTTATCGACACTTAATTTATCTACGTTTTTAGGCTATATAGACGTTATCGGGTATCGTCAATTAACTGACATCTACTGATATCAACGATATCTATTTTCTGAATTTCGTCTGTTCGTGTTTGTCGTTTTGTTTTGTAGGATTTCGCAGCGTTACATTTCATTATTATTTTAGCGAGCCTAATTATTATTAAAAAAAAAAAAAAAAAAAATGGTAGGTTATTAATAATGTAATAAGTATTTGCGGAACACAAATAAATACAGTAACTATAATGTAACCGTAACAAATTATAAAATAATAAAGTAAAAAACAAATCGTTTTCAATTTTTTTTTTTTCTCTCTCTCTCTATTAATCTCGCCTTTGCTTTTGGTTTTCTAACGGTTTTCGAAGCGAGATAATAGCGAAAAACGTTCACAGTTTACCGCCGCCGGTCACGATTTTCCATATTCTTCCGCTACGACCGTGTGGTCCGCTGTCGCCGCGCGCGACCAAAATCTATTGTACCGCTGCGGTTCGACCGAAGACGATGGTAATAATAAATTGTTATTGCTGCCTATTGGCCGTTTAGTGATGAGACGACACACGCGCGAAACGGGATTTCGGAATCGTTCGGATTTCGTCATCGGCGGACGACGGGTTTTACGCCGGACGGTGCCCGCGATTCGATTATCGGTAGGCGTCGTAACACTGGGAAAAAGTGGTACGCGCTATGGAAATCGCGACGGTGGAAAATTTTTAGCGTACCGCTCAACGTGGCGACGGAGTGGGAGACCGCCACCGGTGGCGACGTCGGACGGCCGGAGCCCTTGACATTGTCGTGCCTGAATTGCCTAATCGGAACGCCGGCCGAAGAACACCGGACCCCCGTGACGAACCGTCGCCGTTCGCCGCCGGCTGCGGTCGTTTCTCCGGGCGCTGTACGCCACTGCCCGATGTCCGCCGGGCCGTATTGAATTTTTCCACCGGGGGGTGCGCGTACGCGCCGAACGTAAAAACGGTAACAGTAGTCCGTTTGCGTCGACCGGCCGACCGCGATTGTATCGTTATCGGTTAGGTGCGCGGTGTTTGTTGTACGCCGCGTGCGGGAATCTATGAGTTTTTCAACGAAAATAAAAAAAAAAAAACAAAAAAAAACAAAAATAAATCTCAGCGGTACAGCTGCTCGCTGCTCGCTTCGTTTCAAAAAACGTCCGTCCGGCATCTCCCGCGTCGAAACCGGTGCTGAGCAATACTCTGACCCGTCCGGAATCCATATTACCATCACGCTGTCCGAATTCGAAGCCGATCTGTCAGTCCGGATTTCAATTCGAACCGATAATCGTAACACCGGATCGGTACTTTCACGATCCGGATTAAACGGATCGTAACGTTTGTTCATAGATCCGGACAAATTCGGCGCTCAACACTGATATTATATAAATGCGTATGCGTACCGCAGTATAATAAAACGCTGAACATATTGGAATGAAAAAAAGAAAAAGAAAACGAATAAAATTACAATTTCTAATCGGGGGCGGGACTGACAGTAATTATTTATCGCGATATGTTTTTCGATGTTTTTGGGGTTTACATGAATGCTACACTAATAAATACATTTCATTCCCGTTTGAATGCACGAAATATAACGTGAATCGGTGGTTTCCAACAAACGAATCCTATCGATACGGCCAACAATAAATGTCTATTTCATATATTAATTTTACATTTTTTTTTTTTTTTTGTATTTGAATACGTTTTTTATTCGAACATTTATCGATCAATACCTATAACATAATTGTTTACATTTTTCGATCGGAAGAAATACCGATAAGAATTTGATCACGATAATCACGATGCAATACAATTACTAATCTACACACGAATAAAAATTACATTCGATTCGGGCGATTTCTGACCACATTGGGTAGGTACATACTCTGTCTTTGAGTGCATATATTAAGGGTATACAATTTGAATACTTTTGTGTAATACTAAAATAATTATTATAGGTACCGAACTACTGAATTGTAGCATTTATTTTGGAATTAGTATTTAAGATGAGGGGGCGAGGGGGTAGAAAGGTTTAAAGGTCTGTGACAAAACGTTTTACCGCGAACCCGGGGATACGGGCGATTCTGTCACATTATTTTTTTCCGTAACAATAATATTATTGTTATTTACATTTTTTTTTTTTTTCTAAACAAATAATTAATATAATGTACTGTTTATACGAAATATTGATGGACAAATGGTTATGTGGTGTGGAGGGAGGTGACGTACCTCCCTCACCTCTCCTCTCCGCGCGTTCGTCCGTTCGCGGTTTCGTATATATACGTAATAATGTGTTCCGTGACCGTTTAGAACCGTTGCAGGTATAATAACTGAAATTAATATTCTAACCGCAGCGGCATTTCGCGTACAATTTATGCGCGTGAGGTTAAAATTTTCGCAGACGGCTGTCGTTTTTACCATCGGACGTTCGCGCCCTGTCGTAGGATAGCAAACGGACGGAACGGTTTACGCGGACGAAACGTTGTGTTTCGTCGTTAAACAAAACGCGCCGCCGCTAATTATTGTCCTCGGCGGAATTGTCGGTTGATTAACGCTAATTTATAAAAAAAAAAAAAAAAACACGTTGTCGGTCGAAACGAATAAAACGTACGGAATATGAGAGAGATTCGAAACAAACTGTATCGTACGGCACAGCGCAATAACAATCGTCATGTGTATTTGTATATATTATGACGCTTATTATTATTATTATTATATCATAGTAAGTATATACAGAAATGTCCATATGGAGTTTGAAAAAAAAAATAAAACGGAAGTTTATCGCTCTGGTATCTGATGAATTATTATGCAGTTGGACCGTGCAATGTTTTGTTACAATATATAGTATAAAATTAAATAATAATAAAAAAAAAAAAAATATTAAAAGGTATACATTTTACGTTTAAAAAATAAAAACACGGAAAAGTGGTCAAGGTCGACTCCGTGCATAAATATAATATATAAATACGCGTGTATATATATATATAACAGAAAATTTATACCGTATATGTTTTATCGTGATACACTTATAATACGAAATGGTATCTATAGTACTAAAAGAGGTAACCGATAGGTATAAGTGTACAGGGTATAAAGTTTTTCGAAAAACTACACGATTTGAGTATGCCCCCGTAGAGTACAATAATCGTTTTTAATATTTTGTAAAAAATTACATTAAAAAAAAAAAAAAACAAAGGAAATGAAACAAAACAAATCTGATTTACGAATCACTAATAATCCATATTATTAGTACTCATAAATCCCGAATATTTATTATTAGAAACTATAGAGTGTACCAATGAGATTATGGCCAATAAGAGACATTGCAATTTTAGTAAACACATTTTTATTCTAAGCAAAATGATTAACACACTGTTTTATATTGCTGATATCACAGTTCTCCCGGAGTGATAAGATTTTCAAAATCATAATTGCCAATTTCGAAAAGGAAAAATTCCATTAATGATGTCAAATAAATTGTGCCGAAATAACGGTATTTAAAATTCGTAGATAATAATAAATTAATAATCTAATCGACGTCAATTATGTATTTGATACAGCTGTACAGGGTGATAAGTGCATAAACACAAAACGTGTACCCAGACTGGTTTTAGTTTATAGTAGTTAGTATTTTTTTCGTTTGTTTTTGTTATCACACGTGCAATCACAACTCCGGGAGAACTAGTATAGTTTAGATCCCTTTTCTATTATATACGCTATATAGTGAATGACGTAAAGTATTAAGTCCAATCATATTAACGGCATTGTTAATTTACTGGTCGACTTTATTGAAACAGAACGGAAGTAAATTAGAATGTCCTTTCATACCAATTGATAATATTATATACAGAGTTTAACCCGACATAACTCGTAGGTATGTGTCTAACGGGAAACGGACTGTAACTAAAAAAGTCACCGAGTCAAGAGTGGTTATATCTGTGTACTATTGTTTGCATTAAATCACCTTTTTTACGTTCTTCAGATATTTGGACTGATACGAATTGACATTTCTTCCGATCGACGAGCAACGCGACGTTTTAACCGGCACGCGTGTGGAGCAGGCCTTGTCGGCATTGATGTAAATCGGTAATACTACTTCGGTTTTGTAAAGGTTTCTATTCAATAGTGCCCATCATTACCAATAAGAGAAATCCAAGGGACCTATCGGGGAATTTTCGGCCTATCCGCCCATGATTATTGTTCTGAAAACCGAAACGACGAAATATAAAATACGCGAAAAGCCTGAAACGAATGATTCCATCACGTAACGTTCGCCTTTCGAGCCCGAAATTCGTCGACCTATACTTTCTACCGAGGATTTTTCAGAGAACAGTCTATTTTTAGACCCCCGAACCAGATATTAAACAACACAATCAAACATATAAAAATGGCAAAGCTAAGACAACGCTCTGAACTAGGTAATCATTTCCTAATAATGAACGGAGGAATTTCTCGGAGAATTAACCAAATTTAATTGGTTTTTATCGAAATTCCAATCCCATTAAACTATATAAACATAAGCTGATACGATAGACATCCAATTTTATTTTATCATATTATATTTGTCTGTAAACAATATTTCCCGTCGATGCGCCCACCGTAATATTATGGACACAATATTGCATATTGATTATTAAATCAACATACAATATTGAATAATAATACATAATAATAACATTTTAATAATAATATAAATATCTTAAACAAACGTATTCCAAATCTCTATTTGAATTTATTTTTATTTAATTTTGTTAACAACGATCACTGGCTACGTGGCTATATTAAACGCCGTTTCACCGAGAAATTTTTGGGCGTCCCGGTGCGCCTACCCGTCTCCTTTGTACCTGTCTAATTGTTCTAATAATTCGACATAAATATACAAAGAAATATTATTGATTTATACACAGTGGCATGAATAAAACGAATTTAGCGAGGTGTCGCCGATGAACCGATGTTTCGGTAACGGGGGTCGTCGTTGAATCATAGAAAAATAACATCGGCATTTATACAAACATTCCTAATGAACCTAATTATTTTGTAGAATTTGGCGCATTATAAAAAAGTAATTTTTTTTTTTTATTTTCGTGTGTAATTTTCTTAATACATGGGAAAAACTGGCAATTTTTGTTGATTTCTAGATACCTTAGTTCAGAATCGTTTTTGGTTAATAATGATTTATCGCTACGTACGGATATGAATTAAAATAGTCTAAATATTTATATTGTATTATTCTTTTCAACGTCCCTTCTCGAAAATTGGCAAACTTATCAGTGTGTATCGAATTTTTTTATTTTAATTTTAAGATAAACAAAAAAAGGTAACAACATAATATAGATACTGGAAATAAACGCAATATATTATGTAGGTTATCTAATAAAAACAACAAAGCCATTTAAGTTAATACCCATGTAATTATTCTATAGATTATAAATTTTAACATAAACAAATAATTACACAGTGTAATAATTAAGTTCATTCGAGTGGTAAGTAATTTTCAGTATATCTTGAGACGGGCACATTGTTAAAATATTATTTTAGAAGCATGGGTTTTTTTTTTTTATTTTAAATACACGAGCTAATGTAATAATTTAAATTTCTCCGTACTATTCGCTAAAATATTTTACTAAAAGTCTCAATAATATGTTAAAATCACCTATAGTCAGATTTAACTTTTATATTATTCCGAATCGTTGAAATAGTTTCGCGGATGTATTAGGTATTTATTTCGAAAAAAAAAAAAATTCGATTTGTAGTTATACTATGTAGTAAAATTTATTCTGTGGCGTAACCCGGATCGAGTTTCGTTTACCTATATATTTTTACTCAACGGAGGATAAAATCGATTAGAGTATAAGTATCAGATATTATACAGGTAGTGTGTTTGAGCGGACGGTCGAAAGGTGGGGACGATGGGGTTATAAAATAATACAATTTAGCGATTCGAGCTCGAATAAGTTCATAAGGTATAATAATATTATAACTAACCTTACAAGGAATTATATAAGAGTGTAATGAATACAAAACCGTCGGTGTTTATAATAATATACTTATAATCTGTTCGTGTCAACCTTCGAGTTTTTTTTAATAATAATCGTTATTATACACTTCGCGGTGGAATATATTATTATTACACCGTTTATACGCGCGTATTTTATATTTTTATGGGCAAGTGCACGGAGCATTTTTTTTTTCTTTTGGAAAATCTTAATTAATTCGACAATAAAAATACACGTACAAATAAACGATTATATGATAATACTGTAGTTAGTTACCTTCGATAATTAAACAAAAAAATGGAAAAAAAAGTTATAAAGTTTTTGATCGTTTACCGCGTTTAATGATGATTATGTTATAATATCTTTTGATTTCTTTACAATATACGAGATACGATACGAATCTGTTGAACTTAAGTTTTAAAAACAAATATAATACCGTCTATAATGGCTATGTACCTATTGTTTAATGCTATACATGCATCGCGTATATATATATATATATTTGCAATAAGAAAAAAAACGGACCCACATACTTCGCGACGCGGGTGGGCCACTGTTGTAGGTGAGAAGTTGGGAAGGCATAGTGTATAGAGCGGAATTCAATTTATATTTAAACGCAACGATTAATCTTTGGTAACGAAAAACGATCCTGAGCGGAGCTCGGTCAATATTATTTTTTTTCAACAATGTGCGTTTTCACGATAAAAACGATTGTATAAAAAAATATTACTGGATTAAAATAATAAAAACTCTGTATAATACCAAACAATTAATAAAAACGGTTGCCAATGACAATGTTTTTTTTTTAATCCTTTATTATTTTTTAACCTGAAGAACCTTTCCTCATAATCTCAGATATTAATCAGACTTTCAAAAAATGACCTTACTGAAATATGAACTAAAGCCAAAATTCGACGAAAATCATGTTTTAATTGGAATCAGATTTCTAAGAGAAAAGTGGTTTAGATAAAAAAAAAAAACATCGTAGTAAAACTAACTGACCCTTTGCTTTAATAAGAATCTAAAATAAATGTCTACAGACACGATAATGCCAAAAAAGAAAGGGTTTTTTAGCATATACATTTATACATGATCATGTTTATTAAAGGTCAAATTCAAAAAAAATTATTGAAATATTTTAATACTCATCATTAGAAGTTATATATCTGCATGCTCTGTCTCCATCTTATTAACGCACAATATAGTAAAATTACGTGTTACAAAGAACAAAACTTTTAGTGTTTAAATTGAAATTGTAAGAGTGTAATTATTATTAGTAATCAGAAATAGGTATCATTTTTTCTCTAAAATATTGTTGTGAAAGTTAGATATGTTAATTTTACAGTTTTTCAATAACAATAACTTTGTGGTACAATTTTTTTAGGACAAAACTGCGAGTATTACAGCCTTTGAAAACGTTCACTATTTTAAATTTTTTTATTTGTATTTAAACCGTATTTTCAACTTAAATTTCACAATTTATAACGTTCTAAGGTAATGTAATTTTGCCACGTTGCCCGTAGATACGCGTGTGACGTCTTTTTAAACCTATTAATTTTCACCAAAAAACAAATTAATTAAATTCGAAAAGACGTGTAGTATAATGATATTGTATTATTGTTGTTTATGCGTTTCGTCGCATACCAATAAATGTTTGATGAATACCGTGCTGACAAATTATTAAATTATATTCGTATAGTTTAATTATAATGAAATTTAAAAATTAGAATTTTCAATTGTGTCTATTAAAATGTTTATTCAAATTGTATATCAACCTACACGTGTTTTTTTTTATTATTTGAAAATCAATTACAGTGGTATAATATCTATATAATATATGTATAGGTTATTGAAGTTTACCTAGGTAGTTAATCAATTATATATAACTAAAGGCTTTATAAACAATTAAAAAAAAAAAAAAAAAAAACAAAATGAATTATAATAGTGTTTCTATTTGTTATGCATTTATTCAATTTTTGTTTTTCTATTATAAAATACCCGTGGTCTAATGGTATCTGAACGAATTTTTCGTTTATAATAATAAATACAATACAGCGGGCTACATTCAACGAACGCTTGAGTTATAGGTACTTATAAATATAAAGTAAACTGAAAAATTATAAATTCATTAGGACTTGTGTCATTCATTTGAGATTCGGCTGAAGTCTCACGCTTGTTAGAGGTTCAAAATACTCATTCGTTTTGTCATTTTGCCGATATTAATTCGTAAACAGAGTTATCAATCCTCGATAAGACATTTATTATCTCAGATAGTATTAACTTTTTTCGGAATTCATTTTTTAGAGCATTTAAGGAACAAACAGCTCGCTCTTAAAATTCCATGTCGTCATTAATTTTGTCACCCTTATTTTTGGGTGTGAAACCACTACCTATTTTCGATTTTAAAATATCAAGAAAAACCACGTGACTAGATGAAGTTTGCAATTAAGTATTACAACACCCAAAACCTCCCTGAAGGCTACGTCACTGCTCTTTCTAAAAAACCTTAAAAAATTAATTTGAATATAAGTTACTATTTTAAAACAAAAAGCTGGTAATTTTTCCACTTCCAAAAATAAGGGTAACAAAAAATTACAGAAATAAAACATGTTAGAGCTGCTTGTTAATCAAATTGTCCAAAAAACGATTTCGAAGAATACTTTCCGAGATTATTTATTGTGTCTTATTGAGGATTGATTACTTTGTATAATTTGAAATTATTTTACAGTTCGTTAATAAGGGTACTCAGCATAGTTTAATACTTCTAATTATAAATCGGAGAATCACATTGTTAAATAATACGATTTGTTTAATACGAAAAGTTTCACATAATTATGTAAACAGCGTTACCGAATTTGTTTGTGTAAATAGAAAAACGTTTATTTTTATCACAAACCACCCTCTCGTGTTGTATATTGTGACGATTTTATCGTTTTCAGACATAAACGTGGGAGTTATCGGCAGTAGATACCCAACGTTTGTAATTTCAGCCCACGTAGAAAAATTACTCTCAAATCAAAAATTAGATATCCGATTATAAATTAATAAACCGTTTATATACGACCGCCTACACTAAATAGAGTTATACGAAATACTTTAAATATTAAATAAGTTATATTGAACCGATTTACTAAGATTTATTTTTCACGAATCAAAATAAAAGTAATATTAATCAGTGACCATTTTCTCTTATTGTAAATTAATTTTAACCCCACCCCCTTGATTTATGAGTATGTTTCTCATGACAGTGTACAGTGCGCAGTGGAGGTTTAAGAAAATATGCAGAATTATTATAATTTCGCGCAATGTTATTAACTCTGAACAGTCTGGAAATAATCAACTAATTAAATTCTATACATTTCGTGTAAGCGTTAGAATGTATGTATATAGAGATAGTTAGGTAAGTGTTATAATATATTTTCATCTGTTGTATAATATTATTAAAATGCGGTATTTCTGCAGTTTTGCAATATTATTCAACTGTTTTACAATGTTATTGAGTTTATTTTTAAGTCTGAATAGTTTTAATTTTTATAATATGTTCACTTTAAACAGAAAACATAATAACTATTGTATTAATACGTTTTATAGTGTAGTTATTATATTAATACTGTTTATTATTAAATAATATCTAAATTTTAGGTACTACAAAAAAAAAAAAAATCTGATAGTGCTAAAGGGTATGACATTATTCTAGTAGGAAAGTTGGAAGGGAGGATATATAGAGTAATTTAATGTCATTTAATTCATTAAGCAACCATAAACATCTGCTAACGAAAAACTATTCTGAACAGAGTATTAATTATGTAGTATTTTTTCCCTCGTTGTCACAGTAACCCAAAAATCAATAAAAATGATATAACAAATCACCAATTTTTCCTATATACGATGAAAACTACAAGTAAAATCAAATAATAATCTCTCCAATGCGACATCTAGACTAAAGAAAGTACTTAGTATGTTTTTGATTGGAGCAACATATCTCGTAAAAAAGTTGTTTACGGACACAAAAACAATAAACTTCGTTCGGAATATAAAATGGGTATATTTTTTACCTTTTTGTTGGTAAAGTTTATGGATAGTTGCAGTGGGAAGTTACTGGGAAGGTAGGATATATAAATTAATGATGTTTATATATTATATGTTCTTAAAGAGTAAAACGTTTCTGAATGTTCAATTATTGCAGTAAATTTCAGAATAATTTACAATTATTTGTGTTCTTCGTATCAAATTTTCTAGCATTTTTATATTAGAGGCAAAATAGATTTCGTCAAAATGTTTACCTAAAACCCTTATAATATAAAACTATTACGTTACGTTTGACTTTTATATTTTGAGCGCGGCAAGAAATGTATTGATTTTATTATGATAAGTGATTTTATATATTTTTTCTGTCTATAAATAATTTTAATAAATGGATTTTCTATTATATTTTCAAATTTAGCAGCTTTTCTGAAACCATTGATAAACTTCGTAACAATTTTTTGAACACTGTGAGAGTTGAGAAGGTAAAACAATTTTATCCACATAAAATAAAATAAAAAACCTATTCAAATACCAAATAATTTAAAATAAAATAAGTACTGAATACTTAAAAAATGGCCGTGAAAATTTGAAAATTTGACCATATCTAAAACGAACTAGTATAAGTATTTGGAGAAAATGCCAATCCTCTAAGATTTGTTTATTAAACTGAATCATAACAACAAAAATAAAATCAAAAAAATAGAAACTTATAGATGAAAGAAAATACATACGTATTACTGTTTTTCTGACAGGTTTTTTCTAATTATTGCAGAAAAAAAAAACAAGAAATACTGAAATAGATCTTTATGTTAAGATAATATTTATATGTAAAACAATTGTAAAATATTTACGTTGTTTATTTAGAATAAAAAATAGTCTGTAGGTATTTTATGTGGCAGATTCGAAATGAAATTTTAAGATGCTTTAATCAAAACAATTGGGGTAAAGCGTGGAATATTCGTGATACTTTTTTAAACGTGTACGACGATCGTACTCATTAACTGATAACTCCATAAAAATTGTTAATAAACGTATAACTGTCGTTAAGTGCGTGCAAATACGTTAAATGTCTGCTAACAGTTTTATATTTCTTATCAATATTTTCCATGAATGTAATGCTTGCGTTTTGATACTGTAAATTCAATTTAATTGTTTTATACGTGTATTAAAGGTGAATGTGCTGTTATTGATCAATACAAACCTAGAAAACACAGTTGTTTTAATGATACCTATATAATTGTTGTTTGCTAATTAATTGCTAATAACTATAATCATTCCTTACTGCAGATATGCGTTTTCTTACGGTTTTCACTTTAAAATTATTTTGTTTTTTAAAGGGTGTTATTTTAATTAAATAATGTGACATCAAGATTTCAAACACGCATTACTTTTAAAATAAAATCAAAATCATATTATATTCGTCTATACGAGGGATAGGCAACTCAATATTACTAGAGGGCTAATTTTAAGGACTTTAAAATCTAGTAGGTTAGAGAAAATAGAAACCAAAAAAAAAGGACGATAAAATTTAAAATTTACAATTGACATTTATTTTTATATTTAATTATTTATACATGTGGTAATTATTTATTTAAATTTTTCGTCTAACAACCAGGTTAACTAGAAGTTCTAATTCGTAATCTGTAAAATTGGTAGAATGCATTTGTTTCGTTTTACAACGCATCGTGTATAATATAATAAAAAATATAAAACAATAAGAAAATCCGTATATTAGTTTTAATTTTGAATTATTATTTATGCATAAAAAATTTAAAAAATATGTCCTAGGATAATGGGGACGGTGCAGTTTTACTATTAGAGGTAATTTAATGTATACCTGTAAGCAATGTTAAACCATTGGTTATGAAAAAAAGATTCTGAGCGTAGTTTAGTTGATAATGATGCTTTGTCAACATTATATATGTCATAGTTTAGTAAAATATTTAAATAGGTTCTATATATTTTCTTTAATAATATTTGTTCAATGTTGTATTGATTTCCTCGATTTTCCTTCGTTTATCGTGG